CGTGCATATACCTTGGTCAAAACAAACACCACAATATCGAGTCGATGTTAAAAAAGGAAAACATACTGTAAGTGTGAACTGATGGCTGGTTTCTAACGAACAAGAATTAAACTTGTTTGTTAGTAGAAAAAATCAACAACTTTTAGTTTCTTTGAAAGGTAATCGCGATAAAAATAATAACAGAAAATATCTTCCAATTCATAGTTTGCAAAGTACAAAAATTATTGATGCCTCTATGCTGGGATTATTATTATACGTCACCTAAACTGTTAAATACAATAAGGACAATAGGAAATCATAAACCAGAGTTAAACAAAACAAATTTTCAGAATTCAAAAACTTCATCTAATGTTTCGCTTAACTATTTTAAAGTATCTAAAAATCCTATGGAAAAAAGAAGCTTTCCGATAACATTAAAATCACCCATAAGACTCTCGAAGGCTGCATCTATGGTCATAGAAGACAATGTCGATACTGAATGGAGAGAGCCTAATGTTTTTACTATTGAAGAAGAACATAGTGGAGAAGTCAGAGAGTGAGAAAAAACGCATGGTGTTATACCAGGTACGCGTTTTCATTCAAGTGGTAATGAGCAAGACACGTATAGGAAATAGCATTATACTTTGAAGCAGAGTGACAAAACACCGTCAACACAACCAACAGCCACATTAGAAATGTTAGAACATACACAAAAGACAACATTGCAACGTTTATTACGGTTGACTGAACACTTATTTCTATTTAGAATTAACTATTATTTAATTTAAATAATATTTTAATAAAACACAACTACAAGTAGATGCCGTTGTAACGACTACTTATAAAAATAATTTAGTATTCTATTTAGTTATCAAAGTAAGAATAAGAGATAAAATTATACATCGAGATCTTTACTCGTATTTAGCAGGATCAGCAAATGCTTTTCGAAATCATACACTAACAAATTTAGCCCAAATTATCGGTTTCAACATTATGACCACTAAACCTTACCAGCCCCTATCTAACGGTTCACTAGAAAATAGCCATGCCATGTTGTGCAAGCTTTTTAGGAACAAAAGCTATAACGAAAAAAGATTAGAATTAACTGTGCCTTTTGCTATACATAAATACAACACATTACCGTATGAATTATTATTGTACGGCAGAAAAACAAGTCCACAAAATCCATATCTCCAAGCGAAAATTAAATACCATTTTAAATAGTTATGGTAATCATTTGATTCACTTCCGAAGAGACATGCGCAAAAAAACTCATGATTAGCTCATAAAATATAAGCTTAAAAGTTAACAGAACCATGATTAATATACTAGACCTTAGAATTTAAAAGTTGGTATCAAAGTTTACGCAATAAAAGAACTTTGAAAAGGAAAATTAGACAAATATTACAATAGACTTTTTTAAATCACCATTACAAATCAACATAATAACAACATCACACTAAAAGCAGAAAATAGAAAAAAAATTGTCAAACATTTAGATAAAGTAAAGCGCTGTTATAAATAAGACTTCTTCAATGAGGCTTCCCTCAATTTGAATACGCTGAGAAAAAATAATTTTCCACATCCTTTGACTTTTACTGCATCCACCAAAAGTAAAAGTTGTTTTCAATTTTATTTAATGAACATTGTCAATACAATGATCTAATATTAACTGAATTACATGTGACCTTCGTTAAAACTACATGTTTATTATAAATTGATTCTGTCCAAACGATTAAAAATTTCATCAATTATAAGAATAAACCCTACTTACTTTGATAACGAAATAGTAAGGAAATAACTTTAGTAATTAAAATGTGTATAATTTATTATCAGTTTATTGATTTTTAAAACTGGAATACTTTCTACAGCAGTTGAATGTTAGCAATGACAAGATTTATTACCAATAAGATATCTGAATTGTAATTCATAGTTCTGTATTAATAAGCTTTTTTACGAACAATCAAATAAAGTGACAAAAAATTTTTCAATAGAAGCTTAGCTATTTAAATTGTATTCTTTTATTATTTCTAATACAATATTTAAGCAGAAAACTGGTACATACCTTCAAGATTATCAACGAAAAGTTTTACGTTTTCATTATGTATGATTTTCTGGCACTTACTTTCAACAACACTAAGTTTGGCTAGCACTGACATGATTTCTTATTCATATGTAAACATTATTTTTTGTCCTATTTCTTAATATAATGTAAATTATAACGGTTAATATTAAAAAAAAAATTTTAAGTAATTCAGATAAGTTAAGTCTATCAACTAAAAAAAAGTTAAGTGTATTTTAAAAATCATTTTTTTGCAAAAAACACAAGTTATTAACTTTAATAAAATATGTTAGTAAAACAGTATGAAATTGGCTAAAACTAACAAAACTGCAAAATCGAATTTCATTATCAAAATTTTTAAGAATTTTCTATAACATTATAAGATAGTAAAACAAGTAAAGTAAAGAAGTAAAACAAACGTAATTATAAATATATATTTTTGTTTGTATGCGAGCTAGAGTTTGTGTGAGCAAATAAGAGTTGTCTGCGTAGTCACCATAATTCAATTGCGAGCACGTGAAACTCTATGAGACGGTTTGAGGTAACGGACCCGATAGTCAATAACTTTGGAATATGATCAAATAGCCTGACGTTTCATAAATTCATATAAGTGATATCCCCTGTTTTATTATTTTTATGTTATGTTTATGTACTTACAATTAGTAAAGAATATTAAAAAAATATACTTCTATCAAAGTTGTATAATATGTATACCGGTAGTATGATGTTCCAAACATCAATAGACAATTAGAATCTTGTGAATTGTTGGGATTTCATTAACTTTACATAAAATAATTTAGTAATTTTTGTATTAATTATTCCCATAGTAACCAAGCTGTATGAACAAAAAAAATAATACGTAAAAGGAAGTTAAAAGTGTCTACTTTCAACTTTTAGGTTAGGTTACTTTACAAGAAAATTGTACAATTAATATCCGTACGGAGTATTACGTTTGTTTATAACTATTTTTTAGATCCTGTTTGATTCTAATAAAAATTTAACTTGCCAACTAATTTGGCGGAAAAATAGCTTGAAGCATGTGTATAAGCTATCAACAGTAGTTCCACTATACATCATCATGGCGTAATGTTGGTAATGGCTTTTATTAATGTGTAAAAAACTTTTTTCACTCCTACTATTTTCTCCTCGCTCATTGTTACTCCTTAAATACCAACAGTAATCACTCGTAAATTCTATTAAATGAACAATAAAGCATAAATTACAAGCCACATTGCCTTACGCACTGCACTAAGGGAATCAAGCGTACGTGACGAAACCAGAGATGATACTGAAAAAATTATTATCATAAAAATTATTTATTATTAAGTAAGGTAATTAAAAAAAAATTTTCATCTGCGATAAACACAAGTGAGCATGAAAAAACAGTTTTTTTTCTACATTATCGACATTCAGGTTACTATCGACGATCGGATCCGTTACGTTATACACAATAACTGTTCGGCGTTGACTACCCGATGTTGCTTCAGTGCGCAACTATCACCGTAATCAGCACGTCGCACCGTCAAGTTTTGTGGCTACGAAGTTAAAACAGTCTCTAATGAACTTACACAACTGTTTTATGTAACAGATACTTAAGCAAAGGTATTATAATTCTATTAAAAAATACAAGATAAATTCAAGATATTTTCTCTTGTCATATTGAATTAAAATATTTTAATTTGTTTAAATATAAGTATTTAAACTGTATAAAAAAAGTAATACAGTTCATCGAGCTCATTTAATACAGTTGACACAAAAACAATTAAAGGATATATCAAATCACGTTAATATCATTTTAATTATTATTTTAAATATTATTATTA